TTTTACATTCAAACTTATTTTTATAGCTAAGTTTGCACGTATTGTCATTTGCCTCCGTGTAACTAATAGTTTGCAATGCATAATATTGAATAAAATTCAAATTATATCATTTTAGTACTATAAATCAAGATCACCTTACTGAATTCAAATGTTAAATTTGAGTGTAATATTGTAAAACCATTCTAGCAATGGGTATGGATGCCAAACAATAATTAAACATTGTATACGGTTTGCTGGATACACGACGTCATGGAAAACTGTAAGTAAATCACTATTTTATCTATTTGACCAAAATTGATTGTGGAACAACATAATAACATTATAAGAATGGTGTTACAGTATTTGACAAAACAGCACAACATTTCAGGTAAATTATATGAATTCTTCAGATTTTTGTTATATATACAATTGTGTACCATTTGTAAAGGAAAGTTAAATCAAATCCTTATATTAATATAATAGCTTTATATGTCATTTTCTCTTGGTGACACCTTTAAATGCGGGCTTTATATCTTTGTCTTAAATCTAAATGATGTACACAAAGCTGTCAACCTGCTACTATTATACAAAATACCAAATCCAGTTAAGGGGAGAGAATACACACATATTTATTGGCACTTCCTTATTTCATGTTTGGAGGCCTACGAATGATAGATAATGAAGTTATCATGATATTTATTAACAAATAAATAACTTATACACCGATTCACTCAACCACTTAATCACTCATGTGTTAGCCCAGTTATCACGTTCACTCGATCACTTATACATTGTGGCAACCCTTAGTGTAAATAAAGCCGAGTTTCCTGATTTCCGTGATAGATATAGGCTGCTGACGCACACACAGACACAACAGAGCTTTCTAGAGATGCTAGATGACAAAGTCTTTGAACAAGTTTTATGGTCGACGTCATGATCTCACTGGGAAATATGCAATTCCTTTGTGTGATAAGAAGGTCCATGTTCTTGCTGAATATAATAGTATGCCGTGTTGTTGCCTTGTCAATGCATTAACTCCCGTTTTTAGAGTAGCATTCCTTCAATTTGACCTATATTGGCTGTGGCAACATTCGTTTTCCCATCATGTTGTCATTTGGCAGGGTTTCACTTCGGACAACAGAATGCGGTCTCTCTCAATTTGATTTTGAATATACCAAACAGCTTTTATTATTGGAATTTTCTGTTCCCAGTTTCCATTTAATTCTAGCTGTTGAAGCCATGGCCAATACTAGCCAATTTATAGAAAATAATAAATTTACATTAACTTCACTGATTTCATTGTGTTTGTCTTCTATCTGATAACTCCCGTTTTTAGAGTAGCATTCCTTCAGTTTGACCTATATTTACATGGCGAGTGTTGACGATGAAGGTGAAGACGCTTAATCTTCCGGAACACCTTGTGTTAATCTCCTTTAAGCCTGGAAATGATAAAAAGGATTAAATTGATTATGTTGGATCATGGTGTAAAAAATGGAAATTATCGGTGAACCACAGTAAGTCGAACATGATTCACTTCCGTCATTCTTCTGTACCTTTAACCAACGCTAGCTTCTCTTTGGACAACACTCCGATCGTCATCAATGATAAATATAAATACCTTGGGATCTGGTTTGATCAACATCTTTCATGGAATTTTGCTGTGCAGGAATTAGCGAAATCAGCCATTTTTTTGGAATTTTAATTAGTAAATGTATCGCCGGTGGAGGAATGTCATACTCCGTATATACCTGTCATTTTGAGTCATTAGTACAACCAATTATGTTATACGGCTCTTCCATTTGGGGTATAGCGGAACAACGCTTAATCAACAACATTCAAAACCGAGCAATGAAAGTGTATCTTGGAGTGAATAAATATACTTCCAATACTGGTGTCCTTGGAGATTTTGGATGGTCATCTTGTCGGGCAAAACAACACAAAGAAGTTTTTAGACTTTACTGTAGACTACAAAATGTGAATACATACTTCTACACAAGGTGTATATCTGGTCGTCTAGGAGAAGGAACTCATGGGAAGAGTGTGTCCGCAATTTAGGAAACAAAATTAAGGTATCAAATATACTTAACACTCACGTATGTGTTAAAACCAAACTACGTATAATTACCGGTTCCATTAACAATTAAGAATGACGAAACTTTCTGGTTCTCGAAATTATGGAACAACAAAATTTCAAGCAGTCAACTAAGAACATACAGAAGATATAAAAAGGACAAGTTAACGGAACATTATATAACGTCACTTATACCACGTCACTATCGGAGCCACCTCGCTAAACTCACACTCGGTTGTCTCCCCTTAATGTTGGAAACTGGACGCTACAGTAACTTGCCAGTAGAGCAAAGGAAATGCCCTTTCTGCTTAATATAGTGGAAGCTGAGTCTCATTTCCTTTGTGACTGTCCTCACCTGTGTATAGTGATATCAGATATCATCTATTCAAAAACGCTATGATCTCCTAATTTATTTATTTTAATGAACTTACTTCAACTGAAAAGTTGTTTTATTTATTGCAGGATAATGCGCTTCAATTTTCACTCTAAAACAATTTATTTTATGATGAGACGGAGGCGGTCGCTTTTGAATGTGTAAATATACAAATGTAAATTATAATGTATCGCAATATTGATTTAACTGTAATGTGAGGAAGAAAAATATGTGATTCTACTATTCTATCAGTTTTTTAACATGTAATACACTGTGAGAATATTTTATAGGCATATATGCTAGGTTTTCACTTTCATTTTACACATGATGTACATACAAATAGTTACAAGTGTCTCATTAGCCGATATCGACTGGGCATCTTTTATAAACTCGCTGTATATGATATTTTATGACTGATTGTTTGTGAATTTAATGATGCGTGACACTATAATTGATATTGATTGATTAAATTTACCGAATGTAATCCGTGATCTTATTGTTACCAATATGACCAGTGTGTAAGTGTTTGTCGTTTTTTTAATCAAGGAGACGTTCCTGTGACCAACATCAAATAGAGTTCACCGAGTTCGGATTTTTTTTAGCAATTACATAGTAATTCAAACTGGTTGGTAATTAGCTTCCTGGTCTGATTTATTGTCGTTATGGTGTGTACGTCTCAATGGTCGACTGTCGTTAGTTCTATCAACGGTGGTGAAAAGGGCCATGAGGTGTTGACCTTAGAATCTTTAACTGTGTTAGTGAGGTACTAAGAAACCGTCAGGGACTTTGGATGTTTTTCTGATTATGTATACATGCATATTGTTCACAGGTTTAGGGCGTTTTGCGCCACATATCTGCACTAAGGCACCACAGTCCGACAGTGTCTTCATTGCATACATTTATTGACTTTGTGGTATAGGGAAACATGAAATTTTGTTTCCCGAGATTAGTCATGTGTCACACGGACAAAGAGAGAAACATGGTTATAATCTCGGGAAATCAAAGAATCATATCTCCCATATATAACAGTGACGATTATCAGGTTAACGTGTCATTGCTATCGTCTGGTTTTCAGTCACTCGTAACTTATGGTTGATACCTTTTAGAGAGGCACCGAATGAAGGCAATATGTTCTAGGAAACTCGAGCGCGAGAAAAAGGCGAAATTGTATTTAATACGACATAACATACAGACCCACATGGTAGTTAGTCTTGACGGCCCACACAAACTTCATATTTGCATACACGAACGCAAAACGGCTGGTAAAAATCAAACAATGACAAATGACAAAAGTACTTGTTTTTATCCCACCTGTTGTGTATGGAAACATGACGCTACAGTCATCTACTAGTGGGTCAGAGAACTAGACCAATCTGTGTTCTCATGGTTGTGCAGTCCATTCTATTTACGAGCTTTATTTAGTATCTTGAATCCTGTGATGTTCTATTTTACCACAGGATAATGATATTCAATCTTCACTCGACGAAGTCTTTTTAATTGATATAAAAGTTCGAATGTTTTACATATAAATTGATGTTCTTATTCATACTTTTAACGTTATAGGTTATGATGTACTTGTGTATAATGTGATGTTTTGTATTTGTATGATAATATACTTTCCTCGCCAAAGGGTAACTGTTTTCAATATTACTCGAAAAAACCCATATCTTACCATTTGACGACAGACAATGACCTCTCTAGCTTTAGTATATAATAAAGCCAAAGAGCTATGTCATAGATGTGATAATATTTACCAAGATATATTACCAAGATATATTAGCTCATATTATATTTATGTGTAGCTATACTGAACATCCAAGGGACAAGTTGTGGTGCTCTATCGCAAATATTAGTGATACTGGTATACTGCTGAGTGCGTACATACACTCTCTGACAGATCACGAATTAATTCATATTTTAATTGGGGGTCAAATGACTTACGAATTAAATGTCTTAGACATGAATGAATTTAGATTGAAATCAGTAGCAGCTGTCGAAAAGATGCACAAATTATACTACCGGTAGTGTGTAGATATAATTTCACATCCTGATAAAGATTAATATAAATCAAATAAAATTAATAAAAAAAATATGAATGTTTAATATGATATGTATGTATTACCTCATGATATATACACTTATTAACGATATTTATTGAATGTATGACATCAATGTAATTCAGTCTGTATATGTGTATTCAATATGATTTTTTGTAATGTAAATATGTGCGAATTATTCTGTTTAAATATATTCTTCAAATTGGAGGAAATAAAGAGAATAATAGAATATGTTATCTACAATTTTGTATCATATGTACTGTAGGGAATTGTGTTCTAGTTATGTGTAAAAACAAATTATGTTCGATACGATGGGTTACCTTATATATACTTAATGTCTCATTAGCCAAACATGGCTGGATGACAATATTTGTGTCCATATAAATAAAATAGAAATTTTATTATGTAAAAGCTATTGTTGTAATGTGATATTGACATGTGACACTGAATTATAATACAATGTACGTATATATCATATATATGGTATTTGATTATGGAATAAAGGATTAGTTGCTTTGGATGACATCACGCGCTGGAGATCCACACCTGTCTGTTGTTTGTTGGATTAACTTCGTTAACAAACTATTGAGACGTTTGATAAAAAGTGTTGGTTTTTTTTCTGTTAGTGAAATGGCCAAATTACAGAGTAAACACTAATAATGTAACTATAGGGCATTTAAAGCCGAGGAAAACATTCCACTTTGACGTTGGCGTTTATAGCAGGACTGGTTCGTTAGTTCTTTAGACCGATGCTCACTCAGGTGTCGCTGTTGTGACTTCTACTTACCCGCGTAACATAAGAAATGTTATACTGGTTAATAGAGGTAGGACTTAAACTGTCCACCATTTACCTGTCGAATTCATCAGATAGTTTAATTTGTACCTATCGTTATGGTCGCGGGTAAACACGTCACGCTTGGCTGATTGTGAACATGCTACACACCGCAGTGTAAATAGCACAAATAGCTTGCAGACTTTACTATACATGATTCTCAGTAAGGGTAATACATGTATACTGTATGGGAACTTTTATCGTTATACATTATATTGTGTAAGCAAACGAAGCCCTTGGGAAAGGATGTATTCAATCGCTATTGGAAGTGAATTTCTATTATAGCTTTAAATGCCAGAGGATATATATACGAAATAGAAATTACATTTAAATTGATTGGAACTGTGGTGCGTGTGTCTCCTGCTAATGGATGAAATCGAGCGAACGAACGGGTGTCTTTAAACGTGTGTTCAGTATTTTTTGTAAAAAAAGGTGTATACTTTGATTAATTAGAATTAATTAGTGTGATGTCATATATGTGACGTCAGCAATGTCAACAACCGTGAGTGACTCTGAAACCGATGGAGAGAACAGCCCTCGGAGGAGGAAGAACGGCTTACATCGGGGGCCTCTAGAGGTATTCATCATCCGAATCTCGCCAGCCTGTCGGGCGGTTCTCCTCTACCTACAACAGGTAAGTCATCGGTGACATGTTTGGTTGTGGTCCTGGGTAGGTCTCCTCCGTCATCACCATGTCAAGCATATAAAGGACAAATGATACATTACGATTAAAAGTATCTTCTTTTTAAAAGAGTTTCACAATTCAAAAAGGGTTTTAAACAATTACGTGGACAACTAATGGCACCAGGAAATCTCTCTCCTCTGGTCAACCTTTTCACCTCTTGCCTCATTCCCTTTTATTTCTATTTTACACAGCAGTTATTAAGTACATAACATATGTTTGTACGTGTTGTTGATTGTATGACTGTGAGATCTAGAGAGCCAAGTAAGTTGTAAGAACTTATGCCCAATCCCTTTGACTACTCTGTGTCAATGAAATATGTGCCAATGAAACGTAAAATATGTTATATGATCGGTTAGTAAGGACCTTAATGATAAAATGGCACGATAAGGTGCTTAGAAAATATTAGATAGTCATAATTAAAAACAATACCATATAGTTCGTGTCACGACCAATTTCTACTTTAAATGGAATACATGTTCTCTAAAGTCAAATGACATTTCAGAAACGTCTGTCCAGGTGTTGATTGATTCATTCTTAAACACAATGATGATAATTAATGTGATAACTTAAATCACTCAGAAAAAAAAGTGTAAGGTAGCATAAACCCTAAACTCTAATAAATCACTCTGCTTCTCTGTTTTATGTAGTGATATGTAAATTTTCATGTTCCTGTCATTTGGTATCTGGTATAAAACCTACAAAATAATATCAACTTTGTCAACACTTAACTTTTTTTATATGACGTACGAATCGAAGTTGAGCTATAATACCGTAAGGTTAGTATAATAGCACCATGGGGTAGCTGTCATCCTAAGTCAAAAGCTTAAAGGAACTTAATAAATCTGAATTGATATTTTTATATTTCTAAAACTTGTTCGAGCTGACCTTGATAAAAAAAAATGTTTTCGCATATCCGACGGTGTCTTGATGCCGTCAGAAATTTTAATGATACAAACAAGCTGACAGGTTTCTGGGACATATTTAATATTCACAGCAACAACGTTATACCACATCAAAACACATCTATTATAACCCGCCGTGCTGAACATAACTTCCACTCCATTTGATATAGGACATTTTAATTACGTTCTGTGGTGTATTTACCCAGACTAAACTCGGCTCACATAGATTATGATTCAAACTTACACAACAACGAAAGGTCGCCCCCTATTTAAGTCGTTGAGTAGCTTATTACCCAAATAGACTCTTTCGTCTGGGATTAAAAGATATTTCACACTGATTTCATAATGATTAGAATATCAGAGAAATAAGGGTCCGCCCAACGACAGGTAATTTAAAAAAAAACTGTTTTATAAATTGTACATATGTATCTATAGAGACTTGACATAGGTTAAATTGGTGCAACATTTCATCTCGTATGCTTTGTTTTCAAATTTATTGAGTTCAAATGATATTTTTTCAAAAGTGAAACTAAAATAATTTGACATCTGATCTAACGACAGACTAATATTTAATCAATCGATTTCAAAGTTAACTCAGAAAGGTTTCCAATTCAAGATAGACAGGTTTCCAAGTTAGATCAGAGATGTTTTCAATTTAGGTAATACAATTTTCCAAGTCATGTAATGGTGGTTTCCAAGTAATGAAGATGGGGTTTCCAACTTAGGGAAGGTAGGGTAACAGGGGTTTCCAACTTAGGGACGGTAGGGTTAGAGGGGTTTCCAACTTAGGGAAGGTAGGGTTAGAGGGGTTTCCAACTTAGGGAAGGTAGGGTAAGAGGGGTTTCCAACTTAGGGAAGGTAGGGTAAGAGGGGTTTCCAGTTTAGGGAAGGTAGGGTAAGAGGGGTTTCCAACTTAGGGAAGGTAAGGTCAACGGGGTTTCCAACTTAGGGAAGGTAGGGTAAGACGGGTTTCCAACTTGGGGTAGGTAGGGTAGAATGGGTTTTTAACTTGAGGAAGGTATGGTAAGAGGGGTTTCCAACTTAGGGAAGAGAGTTTCCCAAGTAAGGTAAGGGGGTTTCGAACTTAGGTAAAAGACATTTTTAAGATGGGCAAGAACTTCTCTCCATTTAGAGTTTTTACGGTTAGGTAAGAAGAGTTCCGGATTGGTTGACAGGATTTTCAAAATAAGATAAGAGGGGTTTCCAACTTAGGTAAAAGGGATATCCGAGTTAGCCCAGTGTGTTTCATTAGTTTGGTCGGAAAAGTGTCTAAGCTAGTTCTGATATATGAAGTTTTGTGCAAGGGTAGGTCAAGGTTTCAAGTCTATGAAGGTGAGAAGATTTCTATGTCAGGTAAGAGATCAAAGGGGTTGGGGTATGCAAGCATAAGATGACTGCGTAAGGCAGTGTATCAAATAAAAAAAGTTACAAAGTCGGGAGAGCGAGGATTATATATACCCTTTATGTAATGGATTAACGGGTTCACGAAGCGGCTATCACGGAAACCATGTGAGAAAAGTGTGTCGAGTTCTAAATGAAATGAAATCCCGTGTGAAGTAAAATTGTTGCCCTATATCTGAAGTTAAATATTGACGTTAAAGCACATAGAAATATAAGGCGATTTGAAGTATCCCTAGCTACTAGCAACAACGTGTGTACATTGTAAAACGATTGTCAATAGCATGAAGTATTTGATTAAGAAATGTAAAATGTAAACTCGATTTTAAAACCACAGCTTCTTTGTTTAATATTGTTGTGTTTTGTCGTTAGAAGTCATCTGTCAATACAAAGATAATCGAAAAGTTAAAAATTCAAGTGGAAACGTTACTTGTCAACATAACTAGGCCATGTATCGCAATGTTTCTTGAGGGATAGATGGTTGTTGATGTTTAAATTCAAATATTTGACAATCAAAACTTGATACACTACACTGGGTGAATGACTGCCAATCAAACGGTTTGAATAGGGGATTCTAAGTTGGTGCAATATATTGTACAGTTGACTTTGTCAACGAAAACCGTAATGTCGCTGTTTGTTATCATAATTGCTTCGAATAGAATTATACAGAGTGATTATGTAAAGAGAATCACATAGGGGAAACTGATACGACATAAGTATACAGGGTAAGTCTCTAGAGGGGTACACATACAGGGAAACTAACGAGAGAGAATTATACAGAGTAAATCTCTAAAGAGATTCACAAAGGCGAAATGAACAGGATATACTTATACAGAGTAATTCGCTAAAGAGGTACACATAGGGAAACTAACGAGAGGGAATTATACAGAGTAAATCTCTAAAGAGATTCACAAAGGCGAAACGAACAGGATAAAATTATACAGAGTAATTCTCTAAAGAGGTACACATAGGGAAACTAACGAGAGAAAATTATACAGAGTAATTCTCTAAAGAGGTACACTTAGGGAAACTAACGAGAGAGAATTATACAGAGTAAATCTCTAAAGAGGTACACTTAGGGAAACTAACGAGAGAAAATTATACAGAGTAAATCTCTAAAGAGGTACACTTAGGGAAACTAACGAGAGAAAATTATACAGAGTAAATCTCTAAAGAGGTACACTTAGGGAAACTATCGAGAGAAAATTATACAGAGTAAATCTCTAAAGAGGTACACTTAGGGAAACTAACGAGAGAAAATTATACAGAGTAAATCTCTAAAGAGGTACACTTAGGGAAACTAACGAGAGAAAATTATACAGAGTAAATCTCTAAAGAGGTACACTTAGGGAAACTAACGAGAGAAAATTATACAGAGTAAATCTCTAAAGAGGTACACTTAGGGAAACTAACGAGAGAAAATTATACAGAGTAAATCTCTAAAGAGGTACACTTAGGGAAACTAACGAGAGAAAATTATACAGAGTAAATCTCTAAAGAGGTACACTTAGGGAAACTAACGAGAGAAAATTATACAGAGTAAATCTCTAAAGAGGTACACTTAGGGAAACTAACGAGAGAAAATTATACAGAGTAAATCTCTAAAGAGGTACACTTAGGGAAACTAACGAGAGAAAATTATACAGAGTAAATCTCTAAAGAGGTACACTTAGGGAAACTAACGAGAGAAAATTATACAGAGTAAATCTCTAAAGAGGTACACTTAGGGAAACTAACGAGAGAAAATTATACAGAGTAAATCTCTAAAGAGGTACACTTAGGGAAACTAACGAGAGAAAATTATACAGAGTAAATCTCTAAAGAGGTACACTTAGGGAAACTAACGAGAGAAAATTATACAGAGTAAATCTCTAAAGAGGTACACTTAGGGAAACTAACGAGAGAAAATTATACAGAGTAAATCTCTAAAGAGGTACACTTAGGGAAACTAACGAGAGAAAATTATACAGAGTAAATCTCTAAAGAGGTACACTTAGGGAAACTAACGAGAGAAAATTATACAGAGTAAATCTCTAAAGAGGTACACTTAGGGAAACTAACGAGAGAAAATTATACAGAGTAAATCTCTAAAGAGGTACACTTAGGGAAACTAACGAGAGAAAATTATACAGAGTAAATCTCTAAAGAGGTACACTTAGGGAAACTAACGAGAGAAAATTATACAGAGTAAATCTCTAAAGAGGTACACTTAGGGAAACTAACGAGAGAAAATTATACAGAGTAAATCTCTAAAGAGGTACACTTAGGGAAACTAACGAGAGAAAATTATACAGAGTAAATCTCTAAAGAGGTACACTTAGGGAAACTAACGAGAGAAAATTATACAGAGTAAATCTCTAAAGAGGTACACTTAGGGAAACTAACGAGAGAAAATTATACAGAGTAAATCTCTAAAGAGGTACACTTAGGGAAACTAACGAGAGAAAATTATACAGAGTAAATCTCTAAAGAGGTACACTTAGGGAAACTAACGAGAGAAAATTATACAGAGTAAATCTCTAAAGAGGTACACTTAGGGAAACTAACGAGAGAAAATTATACAGAGTAAATCTCTAAAGGGGTACACTTAGAGAAACGAACGGGATAGATCCGTGCATAGTAAATCTCTTAACAGGTTCACATAGAGAA